CCTTTCGATGATATGACTCCTGAACAGGCTGCATTTGCTGTCTGTCAGAAGGTATTCTCATTTAGGTTGAAATCCTGGTCGGAGGATTTCAACCTAAACCCTTCGATTTTAGGTTGAGATCTAGGATGAAGGATTTCAACCTAAAATCTTTCATTTAGTGTTTAGGTTGAAATCCTGGATTTCAACCTAAACGCTTTCATTTAGGGTTTATGCTAAAATACTGGATGGAGGATTTTAACCTAAACCCATTGATTTTTAAGTACATGTTATTATACAAATAAAATGCTTATTTTAATTAATTTGTGTGATTCTGTTTGTTTATGCAGAATGCACGACCTCCGTTACCTGAGTCATGTCCACGTGCGTTTGGTGAACTAATTAGGCGATGTTGGTCAGGCAACCCAAAGAAAAGGCCGGGATTTAATGAAATAGTGAGGATTCTTGAAAGATATGCGTCGTGTGTGGAAAAAGATCCTGATTTCTTGACATCTTATGAACCTGGTGATGGTAGTTTACTCGGGTGTTTGGGTCCCCGTAAAAGTAAAACTACTACTGTATAAGTATTACGGGAATTAATCATGGATTATGCCAAAGTGTATGATCTGGTTGTGTTCCCTGTTGTTCAATGATTATGATTATGATTATAAATACAATACTTGGATCTTGGGATTGTTATTGGTATTGGCTTCCCCCCTATTGTAATTTGTGTGGGGATTTAGATAGAATATACATTCTGTTTATATTGACCAATTTATGACATGTTTATGTTTGTAGTGATGAGTGATTGAGTTGGTGAAGTGGTAGCTATTGTTTTATCGGTTGACCTTGTTTGCTTACGATTCCATAATTGGTTAGAGGCCATGTGAATTAGATGTATTTGTTATAAAAATGTGAAGCTCCGTTTGTAAATTAATGCTCACTCGACCTAAACAAACAACACAAGAGCCACGATAGGATTGGGATATATTATTACAACATAAATAAGGAAAGGTGATTAATGACAACTGAATAAAATTTGCAAGATAAAAACCCCAATACAAAGAAGATTTGACAACAAAAAGTACCTTAGCAAGATTTTCTATTGATGTAGAAATAAATACCAAGTGATACAAGTCTTGTCCCAACACAATCAGAAAATACTAAAACATTATAGATGTGAAAATGTTGCAACCAGTCGAGGGATAGAGAAATAGTTAGCTTACCCAATTTTAGAGATTTCGAACATTAGAGATCTTAATTTTACCTCTTGGACACCTAAAACACAAATTCTCAATAACATTCCAGATTAATCATATTTGATTTAACTATTGGAGGATATTTGAGTAGGATGACGGTGGAGAACCGGATTTTTCTTAAATCGTGTAAGTTTACTTTCCGAACTGATGTTTCCACCATATGTCAGGGTTACAGGAAATTCAACCTAGGATAATTCAAAAATACACTTATATATCTAGGCATATAAACACAAGCCAAATCGTATGAAGATTCTGAGTTCGTGTAGAAGAAGAAGAACTGAGAAGGGTATGTGTCACGACTCAATCAAGGAGCCGTATTTATACTAGACAGATTAGAGTTTTCGTCTTCTAAATTAGTTAAGAGAATCACAAATTTAATGGCATAATCAATAGTTACAAAATTTGATAAGATTTAGCGGGACCACCGACAAGGGCTCTGCCCCTTAAACCTCATTAGGGGCGTTGGCTCTAGGATCCTGTAAGGGGCGCGGCCCCATTGACCCTCACATTTCTTTCGTACTCGCTTATAATTCAATCTTATATATGCATACGCACCGCATTCTCCAAACATATAATATAGAGTACAAATGATAAGCCTCTTAGTTCACATGTCGGTTTTAAGTTACATAAAATGTCTGGTAACACTAAAATCACCAACATTAAGTACTAAATAACTTTTAGCCTCTATTCTCGGGTTATGCCAAAACGTATCATATGGTTCTTCCTTTTTGTTGAATGATTATTCTTATGATTACAATACTTGTACTTCGGCATTGTTATTGGCTTCCTCTCTACCCAATTTTGTGTGGGGCTTAAGATAGAATATATTCTGTTTTGTGACCAATTCATTTTATATGCATTATGTTAATGTTTGTCATATATTAAAAATGCTTGAATTGGTGGAAATTTATTTTATATTATTCACTAGATTTGTAACAATCAACAAATATTGATTTTAGATAGTTTCAATATTTGAAAAAAAAGAGATGTATATGGTAAGAGATACTTTGACACAATAAATACAATATAACAACTATTTAAGAAATTGTTTCATACATCAACTTTATCAAAATCAACGATTAAATTTAAAGTTATATTTCTAATCAACCAAAAGTAAAATAGGTGTTTAAGTGGTTCGATAGTAAGTGTTACCGTTTCAACAATCACATACAAATAAATATCTTCATATTCACTAGATTTGTAACAAGTATTGATTTATAAAAGTTTTTTAAGGAAAAGCTTTTATAAAATGTGTAGTCATGACACCTCATTTTATTTTATGAAAAATGGAATTTTTATGAATAATATAAATTTTATAGTTAGAAATCCGAAAGTAAAATGGACTATATATATTATATGGATGTAAGGATGAATGTTGACAAATGATTTTAGTTATTTAAACAAAGTGATTTACATGTATTATTAAGTTAAAGAAAAATAGAATAATTCAATTTAATTAAAAAAAGATAAAATTGTACGTTTGCATTACCTTCAAATTAGGAAAAACAAGTTTGAAAAAGAAAATTTTGGATTTTAACGGATTTTTAATTATCTTAATTATGAATTATGATTTTTTTTTTAATTAATTCAATTTTAATTTTAACATGATTTTTGATGATACTCGATTTTATTATGTCAGAATGACAGAATGCTAGCCATAAATTAGTAAAAATATTTTCGATTTTATTCTTACAGAATATGGTCATATTGAAGATATTTTTGATAATTATAGTGATTAAAGAATTATACAACATAATTTATCAAGAATAACATTTTCTAAAGAATACATATTTTATATGAAATGAATTTTATTGTTTTAGAATCACTAATTACATTATTTCTTAAAGAATAATACTATAAACAATAATTATATTCATTCTGAAAAAAAAATACGACTAATAATGGTTAAAAATTACATTTATTCTTCAAGATTTAAATAAGAATGGTTAAAAACGAAAATAAAAACACTAATCAATTCTGAAAGAATTATTGCTAAGAATTGTTTTATACATTCGGACAGAATACATTCTCGTTCTCCATGTTTTCTTTCTTTTCCACATCAATTGCAACATCTTCAAAACCTAAAGAGAAAAAAAAAACATTAAAATCTAACAAAAACAATAACCAATTCTGAAATCATATAACAAATAAAAACTACAGCTTTCAACTATCAGCTACCCGCTACCAGCTTCCAGCTACCCGCTACCCGCTACCTGTTACTTTTGCCAAACACGCCCTACGTGAGATAACTTTTAGATTTAGATCGTTTTGATTAAACTAAGAGGGTGTTTGGATAAATTAGCTTATTAGCTTATTAGTGGTGAGAGAAAACATTTTTTGCAAATTGTTTGGATTAGAAATAAACAATAAGCTATAAGCAATGGGGGGAATGTTTATTAAAATTAGCTTATTTAGCTTATCCCCACCGCCAAACAGATTTTTAGTGTTTTCTATCCAAACACTTAAACTTAGTTTATAACGGTAGGGATAAGCAATAAGCTCCCTCTTTTTTACCTATCCAAATACCCTCTAAATGCTAAAGGACTATAGTACCAAACGAGATATTTTGTTTAAAACGGAACGTTTTGTCAAACGCTAGAAGTTAGAAGCTTCCAAAAGCTCCGTGTCAAACAAGTCCTATACACCCGTTATTATATTAAAGAAAAACCCAAAAAAATCAAGTTTCTGATGACTACTTTTGAAACGATTTTTTGTCCGGTTTTTCAAACCAATTTCCATGAATCAGTCCCAATCCGATTTCAACATCTGTATTCCAAAAATAGGCAAGTGTCCAGTTGGATTGTGTCAAACCCAACCGGATTTACAAAACAACATTTCATAAGAACCAAAACCGATTCGGATCTGGATCCAAAATGAAAAACCAGCTTTTTGCCTACCTATATCTTAATATATGATTTTACATGAGATAATGATACACTCAATCATCATCATCATCCAACTGTCTATGTGACATTCAACAGGACCCATTAATCCATTATCGTATATTCATTTATTTTCCAGTACAACAAACTAAGAAGACCCACACAAAATGGGCCAAAAATACCTACAAGGACATCTACAATAACTTGTTTGTGACATCAGAAAGAAATGCTCACACATGATACACAGACAACTAGCATCAGCCTGTACCTTCCCACTCCCACCACCCATATTCAATGATTGTCAAATAACATAGCTCACCACCAATATCAAATATTTCTATATATATAATATAGGTCCTCCTATATCATATAAAAAAACCCCACTCTTATTGCACAAAAAAGAATCTCAACAAGAATCAATAATAACAACAACAATAAGGAAACAAGTCCAAGATTCGGCTGAAAATGAGAAAAAAATCAACCTTAAGAGATATCAAGAAAGAAAATTGTAATAATTTTTACAGAAAAACAGACCTACATCCAAATAAAGATAATCCATCCCTACAAAGGGTCCCAACAGACAGACGTGATTGAGTTGATAAGGAACAGATTCTCAGAAAAACATCTCATGATTGTACAAGATGTACAAGACATCAACACCTTCTTTAAACGTGTAATAATGAATGTACAAACGAATTCAAACCCACTAGCAAAAACTCACATAAAATAACTTAAAAGTACAACACCAATTTCTTGAACCAAACAATGCAACCAAAAAAAATAACTATTTTCATAAAACCTTTCTCAATCTTTTTTTTTTCTCTTCGCTTTTTTTTCAAATATATATATATATATATATATATATATATATATAATTATGTGTTTATAAACGTGTATAATACAATCTTGATCACCCATATACCTTAACTGGTACCAGTACCAGTACCAGTATCAGTAACAGTATTAGCACCAGGAACACCAGAGGAATCAAGAAGGTGTTCTAACGATCTGTTTTTTTTAGTTCGAACCTTTCCCGCCTCTTTTAGCAATTCGGCCAGCCTCCTCTTCTCATCATCAACATCCGGATGAGCAGTCCCGAGCTTTTCCTCCCTCATAACAACAATCCTTTCCAAGATTGCAATTGCATCATCCAATCTAATAATTCAAGAACACATCAAAAAAACAAAAATTCAAAAAAGGGTTTTTTTTTCTAAAACAATTTCCATACTTTTAAATCTTATCATATACCTTCCAACCGCATCATAAGTTCCAGCAAGATTGCTGTAAACAGCAAGAGTATCAGGGTGATAAGATCCACACTCATGTTCCAATACATTTCTTGCTTCTTCAAAAAGATCCAAAGCTTCATTTATAGCATAAAGTTGCACACACGTGAGCCCCATTTGGTTAAGTGCAATACCAAAAAAAGCCGATTTTTTCTCCCCACTAACACGCAGCTTTGAAATCGCGTGTTCAAAAGACGTATAAGACTCATCATATTTCCCCAACACATAATACATCACCCCCATTTGTGCTTCAATCCCTGCAACCGTGTTTTGCTGACCTGGCACACCGTTGTATATCTTCAAAGCTTTTTGTAACAGTTTAAGTGCGTGATCAATCTCATTCATGGATTCATATATGGCAGAAACATCCGTAAATCCACACGCGATTTCCTCTTGCGGGATTCCCGGGATCGGTTTTTCGTATATCGAAAGCGCGTTTTCACAATACGATTTTGATTCTTTTAATTTCCCGGTTTTGTTATATAAATCAGCTAAACGAACATAAACGGAAGCAACACTCGGATGATTCTCCCCTTTTGATGATTTTAAAGCAGTGAGTGCTTTCTGATACGCGTGAATTGCTTCATCAAATCTTGATAGAGATAAATACGCGTCTCCTATGCTTATATCAATAGAAGAAACTTCATTTTCATGGCCATTTGCCACCATTGCCATGCTGGCTAAAACAAGATGCTCAAGGGCACCTTCATGGTCTCCTTTTGTTTCCATTATAAGTCCCATGAGCTTTCGATCAGCTGCTTCTTCTAAAGATGCGGGTAAACCGTTATTTTTGTGGATTTCAAGGGCCATTTGACATAGCTTTTCAGCTTCATCGAGTTGTAAAGCTTGAACATGAGCTTCAGCAAGATACCTGAAAGTTTCACCCACCCGTGGGTCGGTTTCACCTAAAGTGGATTTTTGGACTTCAAGACCCGATTTGTAACAGTGTAATGAGTTTTCGAGTTGACCTAACATTGCATATGTGTCGCCTAATTGCATGTATCCTGCGAATTTAGCAAGTGCGTGATCTTGACCTAATTCGATTGCTGGAATGTTGATGGAGTTGTTGAGGATGGGAATGGCGTCGTTGTATTGGGATAAGTTGCAGTAAATGGCGGCTGTGACATGCAAACACATAACAACGTCTAAACTGGGTTTACCGTTTGAAGATTTTTCAAATGATTTTGCTGCTCGAAGAGATAAATCGAGTGCTTTACGAGGGTTTTCACCGGAAGACATTAAATCGCGAGCTTGTTTAAGCAGATATGGACCAAGATCTGAGTTTTTATCAGTAACGACTGGTTTTTTAGGGTTTTTATCGGTTTGTTTCTCGAATAGAGGTTTCTTTTGATGGGATTTGGTCTTGGAACTTGTTCCGGAATTAGCTTCCGACTCCATTTGTGATTTCGAGCTTTCTTCCTTCTGTTGTTCTACATTGGAAATCTCTTCATCTTGTTCGATGATTTCCACTTCTTTCCTCTCGCCTCCAACCAAGTGTCTTAACTCTGAATCAATTCTGGATTCTTCACCATCTGAGCCGTAGCTGAGACGCGATGGTGAATGATCAGAACTCTGCATCTCACATACATTATCGTAAAGCTGTTCGATAGAAGGCTCAACCACTTCAGTCGCACTATTCCCAGTTCCCACATCAGGAGACTTGCTTAAATCCAAATTATCCTTCGTTTTCGACAAACTCCCATCGTCAGGCATTTCGTCGATCACCTTATCTTCATGAATTTCATCCAAAACTAACCCAGGCATCTTTCAGTATGCCACCACAATCAGTGCTGATTCAAATTAACTCCTAATAGTAAAAGATAAAAGTAAACATCCACAGTTGTTTCGGACAAAGATTTGACAATCAAATGCTAAAAAGTAATTGGCCCTTTGACTAATCATGAACGGTGGAAAAAGATGCAATTAACCCGAAAGGGGAATAAACTTAAAACGAACAGTAACAGGATAAATTTTGATTCCCCAAAAGTTGTGGATAACAGATCACAAAGACAAGCACCCAATGTTTTTAAAATCGAAGTACGCATAAAAACTTCTAAAGGGGGAACAATAGACCGAGTAAAGTTTAATCTTTACAAAAGTAAATTACAGCTCATTGAAAAGAAAAAAAGCTTCAAGTTGATATTCAGACACACTGTTATATAGGAAATAACCACATAATACAGATCTTATGGAATAACATACACTAAAACCAATCAAGAAACGAAAAACCCAGATGAAACAAAGTCAAATATTTCATTTAGATTGCAACTTTATACACAGTTGACCTGTTTTAACCGATTATATGCAAGAAATTGGGGAAAAGATCATACCTTAGCGAGAAGCCATAAACAAACTTTGTAGAAATTTAAGCTTTTGGGTTCAGATATAGATATGTTGTATATCTGTTATATACAGATTGAGTTGATGGGACAACGGAGAAGAAGATAGAGGGGACAGAGTTGGGATTATGAGCAGGGGTCAAGGACAAAATGGGAATGTTTAAATTTTTTTCTTATCGGGGTGAAGAAAAATCGACGAATTCTTGAGGTTATTCTTCAAATCCAGAAGGCTTTCTGGCACCTGCAGAGTTGTTCTCTGGTTGTTTGTTTGTTTGCACTTGCTAGTTGCTAGATATAGACGCACGCGACAAGGAAAATGACGGATTTGCCCCTGTGGTAGTGGACTCATGTTGGTTCGTGGTTGGGTAAAATGTTAAAAAAAAAATTAGACACCGAGTCACATTCATTTGTAAGATTACTTTGGAATGGTGCAAGCACTCGGTGAACATGCTTCTCCAAGACCAGAAATGGAATCCTAAGCAATCTATGAAATTTTAAAAAATTTAAACAGGTAAATACTAGTATTTGATTATTTTCATTTAATTTGTGTGTTATAAAACATAACTTCAAAATTAATGATTAAGCGTTTATTATAATCAAATTATCAAATAAGAAACTACTTACTAGCTATCGTTTTTATTAATTGTTAAAAACTTATAATATTTATGTTATGAAAATTTATCAAAATAAAATTACTTATAAGTTTAGCTAAATTATATATATATATATATATATATATATATATATATATATATATATATATATAGGGTTAGGTTCATGTGAGACGGCCTAATTTTGTGAGACCGTGAGACGCAATCTTAGCCACTCATTAGTAGATAAAACAAAAACATTTTTAAAATGCAAAATAATTGAAAATTTTTGAAATTTTTTTTTCAATATTATTTTTGAAATATATATTTTCCAAAAAAAAAAAAAAAAAAAAAAAAACCAAAAAAAATAAAAATAAATAAATAAAAAATACATTTTTTTACATATTCTAGTAGAATATTAGAATATTCTACGTATCTGGCAAATTAGTAGAATATTCTAACATTCTAAAAATCACATTAGAATATGTACAGTGTAATATTCTATTAGAATATTTCACGTATTTTAAAAAAAAACGGTAATTTTTTTTATTTTTATTTTTTATTTTTTAAAAATTTTTTTAATTTTTTTAAGGTAAATAAAGTTCCAAAAATAATAATTAAAAAAAGAATTTTGGATTTTTCCTTTTATTTTGCATTTTAAAATTATTTTTAGATTTGGTCTCACGGTCTCACAAAATTAGCATGGTCTCAAATGAACCAGAACATATATATATATATATATATATATATATATATATATATATATATATATATATATATATATATATATATATATCTATATATATAATGTTAAAGTAAATTATATTAACATCATTAACTATTTGCGATCTTAGAATCAATATTTCAACCATCAAATAAAAAAATACACCATCAAAATAACATTCACATAACACCTAATCAATTTTTTCACCGCTCTTCTGCATCTTAGTTATTGATCTCATGGATAATACTGGTATGAAAAGAATCCATCATAAAAATCAACTTGGTTCCCCAAATCATTTTCTCCTACCAACATCATTCATTCCTGTTACGTGTGTCAAAACCAACAAATAATATGGTACAATATACTCCAAAAGAACACTGTTATATTGCACTAAAAAGTAGTACAGGATAAGCATGGTCGACCCATTGAGACACGGGACAAAAGTCTATACATTTTTGCACAAGGTACTTTAGTCACAAAAAAGGGGGTTGTATGCAAAATCTGAAATAATATAAATAACAATCTACTTTGAAAACATGCATAAAACTAAATAGATTTGTAAACAATCTGTTGGAATGGTTTTAGTTATAGTTCTTAATATTGTCATTTAACTTGATTATGACTTGATGTAATTCATGATTGCTATTCTAAGTTGGTACTGACAGATGTTAACATACCTCGCGCTCGCCATATTATCCAACCAAAACATGCTCTTTGACTAGACCTAGATTTACTAATTCAACCTAAACACGTTCTTAGATTGTATTGAAAAACTGCATTAAGTTTTGTACAAGTGTAACGACCCAATTTTTACAAAGAAATTTTTCATTTTTGAATAATTAAACACATTTCCAATTTCAAGAAATCCAGTTATAATTGTTTTCAAAACATAATTCAAATACAACTTTTATTCCAAACATCAGAGTGTCCCACAAATGCCCGAGAGAGTGCACGTCGCACCATCAAGCTTTGCCCTTGCCCTTGGGCTCCGATGTACCTGAAACAAATCCACAAACTGTAAGCTAATTCTTAGTGAGTTCCCCAGAGCATACCCCAAGCACAAGTCAAATAGCACATATCATAACGGCTATAAAAGACTACCTTTACCACATACCACATAACATCTTAGCTACAAAGCTATCTCTATCATTAGCCATATAGGCTATCTCTACCGTGAGCTGTAAAAGCTATCTCTACCATTGGTATGGTTAGAAGACTCACCTCTGGAATGCTGAATTGGTAAGCTGAATTCATATATGTCCCACGCTGCCTCTTCTCAACTGCGTATAATCATCAAGTGATTAGCTTAACACCTTCCCATAAATTCCCTCAGAGTCAACCCTGGTCAAGGTCAACAGTCCATGTTGATCTCAACTCGTCGAGTACAACCAGCCACTCGTCGAGTTCCTTGCATAACTCGTCAACTCGCCGAGTCACTTGAGTGACTCGTCAAGTTCCATAATGTTTGCGGTTTCAAACCATCAACCGCAAACCCCTGTCCGTAAACTCTTTGGCCGACTCGTCGAGTCGATTAAAGGACTCGGCGATTCCCTTTAGTCCTTCTCGTTTTCGGCCTTTCCAGTGGGATCTAGAGTCCTAAACTTCAGATCTAGCCCTTCCTTGTGTAGATGTCACGTAAAGTTGCAAACTTTACGTGCATGCAAGGCCTCACATGACCATAACATCAAAAGAAGTCTTCATACAAGGTTTTAATGCATGGAAAGGGATTGAACTGCCTAAAGGAGACAACTTTATGTCATTGGGGACCTAAAGAGGTCCAGATCTGGAACCATATCCTTGTGATAAGTCCAGCTTCAAGTATGACTCCATTTTGCACCAAAAATGGTCATTTACTTTCAAGAAGAGGGATCTAAGTAACTAAATCTCAAGGTAACGACTTTATACCTCAAAATGGTGGCCAATACAGTGTAGATGTCGGATCTACTGTTTCTCTCCTTGCTCCTTCTTCTTCAAGTTCTAAAAATCCTTCACAACCCACCAAAATCACTCACAAACGCTCTTACTCTCACTCAAGAGTGTTCACGGCCGCAAACTGCTTTCTGTAGGGAGATAAGGTGCTAAGGGAGGCCACAAGGGCAAATATTGATCCTTATATAGGGGGCAAACGCCGAAATTAGGGTTTTCTCTTTACAGCTCCAACTCGCCGAGTCGGGCCTTCCGACTCGCCGAGTTGGTCCCGATCCGCGTCCATGATTAAATGCCCCTACTCGACGAGTTGCACTCCCAACTCGCCGAGTCCATGCACCAAAACCCTGAAGTTAACTAAATCAAATAATTACCTGGAACAGGTGCAACAAGTCTCCCCCACTTGAACTAGACTTCGTCCTCGAAGTCTGCTGACCTAAACAACTCCGGGTAGTGCTCTCGCATCTCCTCTTCCAGCTCTCAAGTCCATTCGGAGCCCCTTCGATGCTTCCATTGTACCTTTACCAGTCTTATTTTCTTATTCCGAAGACCCTTGGTCTTCCTATCAAGAATCACAACCGGCTTCTCGATATAGTTCAGGCTCTCATCCACCTGAATGTCGTCCAACGAAACGACTGCGGACTCGTCAGTGACACACTTCCGAAGCTGAGACACGTGGAAGGTGTTGTGAATATGGCTAAGCTCTTATGGAAGATCCAAGCGTTATGCCACTTTGCCTACCCGGGTCGTGATCCTGAACGGGCCTATATACCGAGGCCCCAGCTTGCCCCTCTTCCGAAACCTGATAATCCCTTTCCAGGGTGACACCTTCAGCAACACGAAATCCCCCACCTGAAACTCAAGATATGATCGCCGTTGATCAGCATAGCTTTTGTGACGGCTCTGCGCGACCCGCAATCGGTCGCGCACCTGCTGAATCAGCCTGGTAGTCTTGAGAACTACTTCAGTGCTCCCCATGACCCGGTGTCCAATCTCGTCCCAACAAACCGGGGTTCTACACCTCCGAGTATATAACATCTCGAATGGAGCTCGGTCGATACTGGCATGATAGTTGTTATTGTACGAAAACTCTGCTAGTGGGAGATACGTATCCCAACTCCCTCCAAAATCCAACACACATGCTCGCAGCATATCCTCAAGTGTCTGGATCGTTCTCTCAATCTACCCATCTGTCTGGGGATGGTACGCGGTACTAAAATGTAGTTGGGTGCCCAGTTCCTCGTGGAACTTCTTCCAGAAGCTAGATGTAAACCGTACATCCCTGTCGGAGACTACCGACACGGGCACCCCGTGCCTCGCCACCACCTCCCGTACATAAATATCTGCCAACTTCTCCGCGGATATACTTTCGGACATCGAAATGAAATGGGAACTCTTCGTCAGTCTGTCTACGATCACCCATATGGCGTCCACACCCCTCGCCGTCCTAGGTAACTTAGTGATGAAGTCCATAGTGATCTCTTCCCATTTCCACATGGGAATAGGTAGCGGCTGAACCTTTCCGTGAGGCCACTGATGCTCGGCCTTGACCTTCCTGCAGGTCAAGCACCGCTCCACAAACCAGGCGATCTCCCGCTTCATACAGGGCCACCAATAACTCAGTCTCAAGTCTCTATACATTTTTGTAGCCCCTGGATGAATAGAGAACTTGGACTTGTGTGCCTCCTACAATATCCTCTGTATCACTCCTCCAGTCATCGGTACCGATACTCGACCACACTACGTCAAAAGACCACGACTATCCTTAACGAACAAAAGATACTGGCCTCGAATCCGCTCTATCTTCTAGTTCTCCTTCTTCACTCCCTCGACCTGGGCCTCCTTTATCAAATCCAACAATGGAGAGATCACGGTCACCCTCAAACAAACTTTCCCAATCGGGGAACCTGCCGCCTTGCGGCTCAAGGCATCAGCCACCATTTTGGCCTTCCCGGGATGACATAAGATCTCAAAATCTTAGTCCTTCAGTACATTCAGCCATCTCCGTTGTCGCATGTTGAGGTTTTGCTG